CCCCCCCCCCCCCCCCCCCGTCGACAAAAAAAGAACGGGGGAGCTATCGCGATGAACGATGTTACCATACAAATGCTGGAATTTCACCATGTATCTAGTTGTTAACAAAAGTGCACATTCAGGCAGCAAGATTCCAAATGCATTAAGAATTCTTCACGTTGGAGCTGTGAGATTTCATAAACGAGTAGGAAAATTCCAATCCTGTTTTTGATATGAAATCTAAAAAAAATGGAAATTTTAAATTATTTATTTGAAGTTTACTTTACATTTAATATAAGAAATTTAGGTGACTAGCTATTTGTCATTGATCAAAAATGAATGATAAATTTTACTATGATTATGGATGGACTCTTCAAGATGTGTTGCAAACATAATTTCCATCAAAATTCTTACAAAACCAACTTTGATTTCAAAAATGATGCAGCAACTGGTGTGCCTCCTGACGGTTCTGAGTCCCGACTCCTGTTCCACTTCCATGGTCAGTGAAATTAGTGTTGCCAAAGATTTGCAAATATTGCCTGGTAAGTTTCAGCCATTTTTATAGCTTTTGCACAATTTGTTTCATACAAATAAGAATATCAAATTTCCAGAAGTGTATTATTAAAAAATTGTCCATTAATAATTTTGAATAGATTTGCCAAATATTCCAGATGAGTAACAGAGATTTCAGATTGTAGCATCATCATCCATGAGATTTCAGCAATGATTCAAAAGTTTCTAATCTTGAACTGAATAAATTTTTTATTGTTTCCATCACATATGTTCATATAGCTAGGCTACCTAGTTAATAGGTACTCCTCACTCCTCAGTCCTCCTGATTCCAAGTTGTAAAATTTTTCCGTGTTAATATTAATAATTTAACAAGTGGCTTTACGCTGAAAACTAAGCACACTCCGCACTTAAACTAAAAGGTATATATGACTGCAACTATTAGCTACTTGGTAACGTGGTATTAGATTAAACATTTAACATACCTAAGATGATAGGTCTTGTAATAAGTTCCTAATTAAAATTCTTGAAAACGGCCAAAATTTAACTGAATGAAACACATACCTAGCGGATAGTTTAGGCTGCAGTTTTCAACTTCAATACAAAGTAATACTTATACAGATATAATACAAATTTTTGATAAATTGATAAACTTGCGATTCAAGCAGTAAAGTGATTTTACTTCTTATAGAACGTATCATCAATCACGGACGAATTCCGAACTCGTCAACAAATGTGTGAAGGTATCAAGGAAAGAGTGTGATTCAACGTGTCAGAAAGACTGTAGCCAATGTACTTCTGGGGCGTCTGGCGTCTGCTTCTTTTTCAAGATAATTTATATCAACAAATGTAACGCATAGGAAATAAAAACATTTCGTTGCTACTCTGGAAATGTTTTATTATGAAAAATAATAAATTAAACCGATGATTTTCCCGCTACACTATTCGATTGTGTCAAAAAGATTCGTTAACATAAGAGCAACTCATATTATTTGACGCATCGACAAATCAACCAGAACAATGTATTGATATATCTTTTGATATATGATGGTGATACATCTTTTGTGCACATTATTTTGATCACGAAATTTGTTGCTTGCAAGTAAAAAAAAAATACGGTCGAGGAACTTCTGAACCTGAATAAAGAAGGCTCGTCTGCATTAAAAGTTCTAGTTACTTATTCGGCAATATGCACTAGTCGGCCAGATAACATTATTACTCCTGATTTTCATTAACAGCGACTGACTGGAGAATAATGGAAACGACCAATCAAACCACGTTATGATTTATTAGAAGACATCGAAAGAGACAGAACTGCTTCTTCGTTGAAGTATCAAACGTTCTTCTAATCAAGGGACGTCTATGGAACTTCTACCCTGGACGTTAGCGAGGGAATTCGACGCGAGCTGGACCACGTCGACCTGATCATATCGCGCTATACCATAATATTAAGTCAAAAATATCAAGACTAGAACAGAACGCCAATCCATCAGTGCATGCATGTCTGACCATTAGGTAGTGAATGCAATGTAATTTACAATTAGATTTACTCGCATTGTTATAATAATAAGCAAGCTTTCTTAACGACCTTAAAACTTGACATGGCTTTTTCAATTCAATAATACAAATCAATCAAACTGTTCCATTGCTCTTTTTTAACCAACCCCGAAGAACTAACGTATCATTAACAATATTTGACAAGGAGGGTTTTCCGCCACGGAGTGAACAAATCTCACGTTAATATAAAATTTGCTAGCGGGTAACACTTGAGACATTACGCGGAGCACGTGATAACAACGGTAAAAACTGAATAGCTCAGCCCCTAACACCCAAATGCTGCCTCTGGGACAATGCTATCCCTACTGAACTAATAAGCTATTCTGTGGTAAAGAATCAAGTGAGGTTTTACAAAAACCAATGCTAACAGGCAATTCAAAGCATACACTAGTCATAAAATGCATACAATAGTTATTCATAATGAGAAAGTTTACTGTAAAGAAACTGATGGAATGGAAGACCAAAAACGCGGTTACGTTTGGCCATTGTATCTGGGAATGCATTAAAGTGGCAACTTATTTCTGTCGGATACTTAACTTGAAACATACAGTAAAATCAAATAGACCGATAGTTCATAATGTTGTTGCTGTAGCTTAACCTTGTGTTCCAATTGCTGAATTGAAGCTTAACAATTTTTCCTGGAAAGAATAAAGCCTCATTGACTTCACAAAAGGTAGCCGGTTCGTTGCTGAATTAACAGCAGTGTCTAAGTTTGATGGTCAATAGTTGGTGATTAACTAAACATCAGAAAGTAGCCCTTCAACAGTACACGATCCGAAGATGGTGCAATGGTTTCAATTAACATAAATTGATGAGAAATCCAGTGGAAAAAATGGTGACATCCAAAATAGTGTTTGCTTGCACAACGCATCAGCTGTCCGAGCGACAAGGAATCGGCTGTCCGAGCTACAATACAGCGAAAGGAATGGTGCGAGATCGACAAAGCGGTGAGCTAGCGTATGCATAAGAAAAAACTACCAGTTTAGACTAGTACATGGAAGCGAAGAAATGCAACCACAGTATTGAAACTTGGACTGTTATCTACCGTTCACCAGGTGTTATATAATAAGTCATATGCCTAGTTAGAATTAGCGTAAAAATAGTTGAAAGGGCCCTCACAGAGGGACAATTTTGTCGTACTTAGAACAGTACGCGTACAAAAGTACACATATTACTGAGAACTTGAATTATTCAAACAAACGCATCATATAATGATGACAATACTGCACCAGATAGAAGTTATCACAACACCCAACACAGCACCACCTCCTAATGTAAACAGCGCAATAGATTGGCACTGAATATAATGGCGGTTCACATTGATGTAGCTCCATTCATTGCTATACACGTGGTTAACTCTTATACATGTACATTTTAATTCACGTATCATATACATTATGCATTTCTGACGACGTACGTATGTTAACAATGTTTTCAATACAAAACCTGCATGGACGTTTTACAGACTAAAGAGTAGATATACGATGGCGGTCGGTTCACTCTTTGAGTTTTTTTTTAATGCTTTGGCTAAGCCTTCGACAACATCAAAAGTTGTTTTCCGAACATACGGTATCTTATGGATCAATATTCAAACCGCGCTTCATCAGAGCAAAAGGATAATAATCGGCGCGAAAGAAAGAACAAGACAACAAGTTATTGCCAAAACAACAATGAATTTTTTTGCATAAAATTACGATTCTTAGTCAAACGCAAGCGCCAGTGACAGCAAGTGACACAACTCAGTGAACGTCTGGACTCAGTTCAGCCGTCAAACAATATATTAATATTGTTGTAATATTAAAAATGCAATATTAATCCCACATACCATGTCTCGGCCACACGTAGTTTATTAATGTCTTCTCTTATAATCGTCATGGATACGGAGAGCTCAGAACCTAGACAAATTAATTGAGCAATGACATTCGTACTAATAATCTTAGGACAACACACGACGATCTAATTCTTATGAAGCGAATTACACTAACAGAGTTAATTATAATTCATTACACAAAAGTGGATTATCAAGAACTAACCAAAACTTAAACTTTTAAATAAGTTAAAAATTGGCATATTATCACTTTTCAGGCAGCAATATGGTTAAATTTTCATTCTTATATTCTATTTCATTCTTAAATATTCTTAAATTGAGCAACCGCATAGGGGCTTCACAAACGTCTTGTATGGCGGCAACAGCGGAATAGTTGAGTGCGTTGCGCCACGCAAACGTCGTCGTCCGGGAATTACGGAACGTCGAGTACGCGTTGGTCGGCTTACGTCGCCGCCCTCTGCGCGGTGTGCCGTCACCTCCGCCGTCCGAGCTCTTGGCGGCGGCGGCGTCGGAGCGTCTCTTGCTCTCGAGGGTCGTGTGCTCGGCGATGAAGTTCTTCACGGAGTTCGTGCTGGGGAGGCCCACGAAGTCCAGGATGAGGCTCGCCATTGCCTCTGGCTGCGTGCCGAGGTCCTCGTAGCGCACCAGTAAAAATCTGCGGGGGCAGTGAAGTCATACAGGGTCTAACGTCATAATAATTGACAGGAAATAAACAGAAGACGACAGCAGCAAATAAATGAGACATCCGAAAAATTTCAACTGAAGGACGCCTCATGCTACGAATAGTAGAATATTTGTTATAAATAATGGATGATTTTTGTCTGAACCTCTATCCATACAAGATGAAATCCCTACAGGATATACATTAAATAAAAACTGACGCCTGCTGACATGAGAAAACGTTTGCCTTCCCGATATGATTACCGCGGCACCAAACTACCTTAACTAAATCTTTATTAGGAAATATGCATATTAGGAAGTTTAGGATGATGTATTAGGATTAGGATGATGCGTGCAGGCGGGAAAAATGAACTCTTCGGGGGTAGCACAACTGCCGTTTGTAAAGCCATCAAACTGTCCAGTGCACAGCACGGGTCGCCATTCAGTTACGGAGGCGATAATCAACACAGAGCAATATGAGCGAACGATGGAGGGCATTTAAACGACGATGAGATGTGGTAGAGAACCTACAGAGGAAGGACCACCTACAGAGGAAGGACCACCTACAGAGGAAGGACCTCCTCCAGCAGGATGGTACCTACAGCTTACCAGCGGTCGCGACATCCGCTATGCACCGAACTCAGCGGTCAGGATACTTGGCCTGCAGCAACTCACCGGTCAGGATACTTGGCCTGCAGCCACTCACCAGTCAGGATACTTGGCCTGTAGCCACTCACCGGTCAGGATACTTGGCCTGCAGCCATTCACCGGTCAGGATACTTGGCCTGCAGCCACTCACCGGTCAGGATACTTGGCCTGCAGCCACTCACCGGTCAGGATACTTGGCCTGCAGCCACTCACCGGTCAGGATACTTGGCCTGCAGAGTCTGCGAGTGGTGCAGGTCTAGCAAGAGATGGTCACACACGATGCTGGGGTCGCTGCAGACGGGGGCGCGGCACCAGTCCAGCCTGTGACGGGAGTGCATCGTCCCCCGCGGGTCCCGCACCAAGTGTATCACCCGCAGGTCCAGGCTGGGGTCCTGCAGAAGCTCCCCCAGGGGCGCCGCCCCCAGGCGCACCGTCTTGATCACGTTCACAGGGAACACCTCGCACACCTGCTCATGCAGCGCACAGGTATGAGGGAAGCTCGTCTCAAGTTTTTTGCACACGTAGATTCTCCAAGTGAATATATGAAAGTTTTAATTATTATTTATAAAAAATTTGTTTCTGAATGAAAATTTTTCTTAAATAAAGTTTTATTTATTATTAAAAAAAGTATATAAAAACGACTAAAAAAGTTTGTTTCTGAATGAATTAAAAATTACGACTTTTTTTGCAAGACTTCTCTTTAACTTCGCTTCTTGTTTGTGTGTCTGTCTGTCTGCTACAAATCTTATAATCGATATTTAACACACTTCTACCTGTCCAATCAATCTGAAATTTTGCACACTTGCGTAAAGTTGGAGACAATGCATGAATCAATTTACGGAATAAATAATTTTATAAATTAAAAATTTTTTTTTTCATTATTAAAAAAAAAAATAAAAAATAATTTCGTCTGCTACAAATCTTATAATCCATATATGACACAATTTGACCTGTCCAATTGATCAGAAATTTTGCACAATTGCATAAGTTCAGAGACAATGCATGAATCAATTGACAGAATAAATAATTTTGAAAATTTACAAAATATTGATAACTTAAAAAAATTTTGATTAATAATTTTTTTTCAATATTTGAAAATAAAATTAGAAATTCATTGTACATGTGTAACATCCAAGACACTGGATAGTTCAGAAGTGTTGTCTTTAAAAAGTAATTTTTAAACGCATATTATTTTATATTCTAAGGTATAATATATTTAAGTCTCCTATCGTTTGATCGTGTTCACAAGCAGAAATTGCTTGTGTTCAGTTTAAGACTATAGTAATATGCCCGGTAATTTTTTATTTATTCTAGGGTATAATAGATTTAAGTCTCCTATCGTTTGATCGCGTTAACTAGAAGATATCGCTTGTATTCAGTTCAATTTATATAGTAATAAGCCCAGTAACTTTTTTTTAAATTGTAAGTTATAATATATTTAAGTCTCCTATCGTTTGATCATGTTCAAAAGCAGAAATTGCTTGTGTTCAGTTCAAGACTATAGTATTATACCAGGTAATTTTTAATTTATTCTAAGGAATAATATATTTAAGTTTCCTATCGTTTGATCGCGTTAACTAGAAGATATCGCTTGTGTTCAGTTTAAGATTATAGTAATAAGCTCAGTAATTTTTTTCTACATTCTAAGGTATAATATAATTAAGTCTCCTATCGTTTGATCGTGTTCACAAGCAGAAATTGCTTGGGTTCAGTTGAAGACTATAGTAATATGCCCACTAATTTTTTATTTATTCTTGGGTATAATATATTTAAGTCTCCTATCGTTTGATCGCGTTAACTAAAAGAAGTCGTTTGTGTTCAGTTTAAGATTATAGTAATAAGCTCAGTAACTTTTTTCATATTCTAAGATATAATATATATAAGTCTCCTATCGTTTGATCGTGTTCACAAGCAGAAATTGCTTGTGTTCAGTTTAAGACTTTAGTAATATGCCCAGTAATTTTTCATTAATTCTAGGCGATATTATATTTAAGTCTCCTATCGTTTGATCGCGTTAACTAGAAGATATCGCTTGTGTTCAGTTTAAGATTATAGTAATAAGCTCAGTAGTTTTTTATTATATTCTAAGGTATAATATAATTAAGTCTATCCACGTTTGTTCGTGTTCATAAGCAGAAATTGCTTATGTTCAGTTCAAGACTATAGTAATATGCCCAGTAATTTTTTTATTTAATCTAGGGTATAATATAGTTAAGTCTCCTATCGTTTGATCGCGTTAACTAGAAAATATCGCTTGTGTTCAGTTTAAGATTTTAGTAATAAGCTCAGTAACTTTTCTACATTGTAAGGTATAATATATTTAAGTCTACGATCGTTTGATCGTGTTCACAAGCAGGAATTGCTTGTGTTCAGTTGAAGACTTTAGTAATATGCCCAGTAATTTATTATTTATTCTAGGGTATAATATATTTAAGTCTCCTATCGTTTGATCGCGCTAACTATAAAAAATCGTTTGTGTTCAGTTTAAGATTATAGTATTAAACTCAGTAACTTGCTTACTAGACTTCTCTTTAACTTTCCTTCTTGTCTGTCTGCTACAAATCTTATAATCGATATTTAACACACTTCTACCTGACCCAATTGATCTGAAATTTGGCAAACTTGCGTAAAGTTGGAGACAATGCATGATTCAATTGATAGAATAAATAATTATATAAAAAAACATTTTTTTTCCTTATTAAAAAAATTAAACAATAATTTCGTCTGCTACAAATCTTGTAATCCATATATGACACAATCTGACCTGTCCAATTGATCTGAAATTTTGCACAATTGCAAAGTCGAAGACAATGCATGAATCAATTGACAGAATGAATAATTTTGAAAATTTAAAAAATTTCGATATCTTAAAAAAAATTTTAAAAATAATTTTTATTTCCAATATTTGAAAATAAAATTAAAAATTTATTGTACATGTGTAACATCCAAGACACTGGATTGTTCAGAAGTGTTGTCTTTAAAAAGTAATTTTTAAACGCATATTATCATTCCAGCATGAGAACACATTTGTCGTGTGTTCTAATGATAATCCTATCTTCAGTTCATCCGGCGTAGCAGATAGGAAAAGCGCGCGAGTTATCAGAAATTTATGCAAGTTGTATGTTAAAAACATTTAATATTGCGTAGAAGTTCTGTGAATGATAAGATTATAAAAAACACAAAAGATTTTATAAAACATACAGATAATGATAAAATAGTTGATAGAACTTGAACAGCACTAAGTAGTAATTGCATAGGTACCTTGTTAAAGAAATGAGGATCGTAGCAGAGAGCTCTGTTTATCGAGCATGACTGCCAGTAACGGGAGTTGTGAGTGAAGAGGAAAGTGTTGTTTCTGACGTAATCAAAATAGTCGTGCTGATCCGTCATGTTACAAGTCATGATGTTGCGCAGCAGCTCCAAGACAGGCTGCTTCAAGGGCCCATCTTCTAGATGTTGCTTCTGAAGCAGCTGATGCAGCGGCTCGAAGCTGTAGAAAGTGCCGGGATATGCGTTGAAGATATCACCCAAGAAAGTAGAGCCGCTACGCCACGTCGTCAGAATAAGAATACGCTTGACTCTGTCCCTGCCCACGACGCCCCCCGGGGTAAAGTCCAGCTCTCCAGGGAAGTTTCTGTACTCGAAGTTGACTCGGTAACTCGCGGCGCTGACGCCCGCTTTAACCAGCTGAGGATACGCTCCAGACCAGGTTTTTGCGTCCATCTTTGGCACGTAGCGGAATTTCTTGGGGTTGCTGATAAGAGGCTTCTTGACGTACTTGAGTGCGGCCTCTTCAGGTATAGTTTGAGAGGGAGGCTCATCGTTGACCTGCATTGCAGCAGCGGTATCAACAGTTTGGTCCTGACTGGGTACAAATGTATCATTTACTAAAGACTTTCCTGGACCGGGACCGCTCTCCGCAGCACTGCAGCTGTTATTTGGACAAACGCTAATTTCTGTATTACTACTGAAAGCTGAGGCCTGTAGCTGCCCATCATAGTTTTGAGGTTCCACTACCACAACATTATAATTAATTGAGCCGTTTCTGAAAGTTTGACTTTGATGAAGCACACTAGAGGAAGATTCGTGTGCCAAGGATTGGTTGTTTGGCAGCCATGTCGCCCTCTCCCCACTCAACGATCTCTCCGAGTTCAGCTGACGGAGGGCGCCGACACTGCGCACTTCTGTGTGGAGGAAGATTTATGTTATTAATAAACAGGGTGCTTAGAGATAGACTTTTAAAGGTGATTTTCGGTATCGAATAAGATGAGGTGGAACATTAGAAAATCTTTCACAAAGAGCAACGAAATTCAAGAGCTGCCACAATGAAACGCGCTCTAAAATACGTGCTCACTTCTCATGCAATTGCAAACAATTCTAACAGCTCTGTTTGTACACAAACAAATTGTTAAAGAAGAACTGCCGATGTAGGCCGATGAAAGGCCAGACTCAATAAGCTAACAACGTCCGTCGCGTTTGTGCAAACAATACGAGAGAGACACCCGCATCGGAGTTACCTTCAACTAGATTAATGGCAGAAAGAGTAACCATGCATGTAATGTCATCTGCCTTCGTTAAGTACTGATACTTCCATCTGTGCCAATTCATTTTAGCGAGTTTTTATATGAAATATATACAACATTGAGCTATTTTTTATTAACTGGGAGCCTCGAGCAGAAAATGAATATCAAAATATACCCACTGATAACAAAATTTTTACAAGAGTCAGAAGCTTCCTGAACAGCCACGAGTGTAAGTTTATTTCATGCATGACAACTACCGCTATGCAAAGTACATGCAGACTTTATGCTAACGCTTTCTCACTGCAATTAAATAGCTGGAATAGAATAAGAATATTCAGCGCGTTATTTAAGTTACGAGAGAAATTATTAGGAAAAATCTGCGGGCTTCCGGCAGTGAGAAATGCTGCCAAGCGATATATTTTAGGGCGCAAAATATTTCTGAATCGGATTTAGCACATCCCCCCTCTTTTGAGGTTTCCTGAGTATTAACATTCTGCTGATACTTGAAACCTGACACGAACTGGACAGAGGCACTGCAGGTCTACGTTATTTGAATTCAATTATCTGTGTGCAATATGCGAGGGGCCTGCAAAGAAGCGCGAAAACACGAGATATCATCGTTGAAAATGCCTTGCTACAAATTACAGTTAATCCGTAAGTGCTGCGACAGGAACATTCAACTTATGAATGAGGAAGGTTAACAAGTGGTTTACGAGTCAACTGAGTTGCTCACTTGGTCACCTAGCGGCCCAGATATCGCCATGAGATGACCTATACTCTCTTAGCTGTATGAGGGACACAGTATGTCGCGTTACTCGCCTCAACCTTGCTCTACTTTACATGACATTCGCCGCCATTTAACTCGGAGGTCATAGATTCGATAAGAAGTATGCGGAATCTTTTATAATGTCTGATGGGAGGGTCCGTATATTTTGATTTCTTCTTCATCATAATTTTTTTTCCATAGGACGCTATGCGGACTTGATCATATAATTTGTAATCTTAGTATAACTTAGTAGACACTAAGCACAGGGACCTCAGTTTCACCAATGGACGAAGAATATGCAATTAACAGCGTTGGATACGAAGCTCGTCATAGAGCTAGGGTCACTGATCGTGCTGCGTGGGCACTGACCGTGCTGTGTGGGCACTGACCGTGCTGTGTGGGCATGTGCTGTGTTGGCACTGACCGTGCTGTGTGGGCACTGACCGTGCTGTGTGGGCACTGACCGTGCTGTGTGGGCACTGACCGTGCTGTGTGGGCACCCGCGAGTTGCTGTAGACGAGCAGCAGGAGCAGAGAGCTGCACGACAGCGACGCTACGAGCAGCTGCCGGCGCCTCAACATCACCAGCATCACCACCACGCCTCCTGCAATGAATACACCCGTGATAATGAATGCAATGAATTCATATATATAACATAGCGTTGAAACAAAAAGTTGAAAAATGTTGTTGTTAGCAAAAAGTCGCAAATGTTAAAACGAAAACTCAGCTAACAAGTTAAGTAAAATTCCGTCATTAATTTTAGCCACGAACGGAGGGCAATTCTGCATCCGATGTTAGAAACTACAGTCTGAATTTGTTTATTTATTTGTTTCCAAGATGAATTATTCAAGACATCGTAGACATTCAATGGGCCAGAGATGAAAGCGGAACGCAGACAACACAAGCGCGGTAGACGCGCCCGGCGGGGACAGTACCCGTAAGGTAAACTCTACCTCCTGAGTGCTTAATAAAGTTATATTATTAGTCTGTTTATATCGCAAGTTCACAAGGAATTTAAAAGCAAAGAAAACGCCAAGAAAATTCACCATATCGATATTGAAAACCTGAAATACTGAGAGTATACACTTTTTGTTCATACTGTCACGGCGTAAAATGAAGCTTTGCTGCAGGCAACACGAAAGGGAAATATCCGTTGCAAGTGCAAATAAAAACCAAAGCCAGAAGCCAAATGAGGCGCGGCAAGCATCGACAGGGAAGAAGGAAGGAGTCAAAAAGAACACAAATGGACTTCCTAAAGAGAGCAGCTATTGTTAAGGGGTGGAGTAAGGAAGTGCAATAAGAGCAAAGTATAAATAATTCTGCCGCGGTGTTGAACAATCTCTTTCTTGGAACAGAACAGCTATGCGTTCAACTCTCGAGGGCAAATCATTTCGCGTGTTTTAAATAAAAAGGTTATTAGCCTTTCCGCATCGTTCAAGTAACGGGTCAATACATAAAATATCTATTATTGACAAGGTGACATCATAAATCAAACTAATCAATATTTTTCAATTATTTTACAAAGTTGGGAGTAACGACCTGCTTTTCGAAATCTGACACCATATGACTAACTAAGAGTGTGTCAGCAGTTAAAAGTATAGTGCCACTTGAATAGAATGACTTAAATTAACTACACACAAAATTATTGCTATTATCAATTGTTATTACTTCAAAATATTAGTTACATCAAATCAAATGGATAAGCCTCATAATATAAATTACGCATCGCGCTAACTATGAAAGACAACACACGACTGTCGATCATTCCATTATTCACCGAAACAAAATGATCCGATAACAGTTAACTTTGCTAAACCTTTAATTCCATCATATATGGTACTCCTTCCCTGGACATCAACACAGTTGAGCTGAAGTCTTCCAGTTAAGCTGGAGTCTTCCACAGCTTGTTATTGGCATGAATGAGTTATCCAATTGGTCAAGTGAGAATCCTTATACAAGGCACCCTGATCTCTGATGTAATTTTAAAAGCTTGTATTAATAAAACTGTCGATTTGACGGCATCAGGTTAATGTGAAACATTAACAGCCTAGCTTCCAGCGTCGCAAGGGAACGCGATTGCCTACAATTAACAATCAGGTGAAGCTATAAACATGAATCCCATACATGAATCCAATGTTTTATGCACAAGCATTGTTTATGTCATTGTTTCATGCACAAGCATCCATATAGCCTAGGTGCACAAGCATAGAAACAAGATAATTCCGAAGAAAATTCAGAAATAACTTCTATTACCTTTGCAATAAAAATTGCACGATAAAACTCTGCTGCTGATAATTACCATCAACAACAATTTGAAATTTTATAAATTTGTTCCAAGTGCAAATTTAACCTCAGCTAACATTTTCAGGTCTGGAGCGGTCCATTCAGCAATTACAATCCTGTAACGCCAGCGAGCCTCATCAGCTACTGCGAACTGAACGAGAGAGAACCGACTCCTTGATAGTCTTTCACAAAACACGTACGGCAACACTCAGAGAAATAAATGAAACTTTATCGCAATTGTAACGCACTTCTTGCCTTTCTGAGACATTATCCTAATAGTGACGCACTTTTCGTGCCATTGCTTAGTTGGGCCGGGCAAAAGGGCATATGAGTGCAACGTCTGCTCCCTGCTCACGCTGATGGAATGAAAGTGTCACAATTTGGATACATTGATCCATTAATTTTCTAACTTTTATTAGGATAGTTTACCAGAAGATACGAGTCTAATTAATTAATCTTTAGATGTCCGGAAATTGTGGTCCACGTATTTCGGATACTCGGAGGCACTTAGTAAGATGCGTCGCACGACGGCTGGCTTGGCAGCTCGGAAAGCACGGCGATGAATAGCCCGCAGTGCTTGCCTCGCTGCACAAACAAGCATCAGAAAGTCGTTCAAACAGCCTTCGCCTTCTCATGGCGTTGGTCAAACACGAGTTTCTCACACGATTCCAGCCTGAGAAACGCATTCTATAGATTGAGTGCAGCTCACGCTAACATTAAAGGTACATTATTGTTGCCAAAGATCCCGGAAAATAGAAATTTTTTGAAAAGTTAGAATGGGGAACAAGATTAAGACTAAAATCTGGATTTTTTATCTATTCCGTCGTATCTAATGCAGACTCGACGGAGAGTTCTACTAGGAAAAGAACGCGTGATGCAAGTTCCGCAAGGCTATGTCTATAGAGAGAACCACGGCAATTTTACTGATGCTACCAAAAAGGAGGAACTATAATGAGGTATGCCAGTTTGGAAATTTGCATTCTTCTACTGGCAAGATTAGGTACTATAATGCATGAGATATCAATGAAGCGATTTAAGAAAAATGATGCCAGACTGACAGTATATAGTGTCACTGTAACTATAAATTATCTATAACTGCCCAGGGGCACCACAGTGCATGCAAGGGAAATTTCAGGTCGAAACTAACGCAGGATGCTTTAATTCATCCTGAATAGTCATTTACGCTAAACTTTACGTATTTAGTCCCTCATGCGAATCTTCTCAAGGAAAGAAACAGCGTTCCCTTGTTTAAACACTTCCATAAAACTCTCTGGATCACACGAAATTGATGAAGCTCGGACGAGACAGAGCCAAATCTCACGAGGTCCAGCGGTCGTGTCCCTCGACTAGCCAATAATTAACTGTCCCGCTATTACGGCCACCAGAGGAGGATTTTTTTGCATGCCTTCATATAAAAATACGCGGCAAAGAAGCTGCGCTGACGAGGATTTGATGGGCGGAACAAGTTTGACATAAAAACTTGGATAGAAATTTCATATAATTAGTATACTATGTGTGAACACTTTTTGTACTGAACTTGCTATTTTTTAGATTTTATTCACAGTTTAACAATGTTGCAGTTATAATACACTAATGTCCGAGAAATATTTGTGAACCGAGAAAATACACTGAAATACATAACTAACACGCAAAAGTGGAAGCATTCACAGAATAATTAGTGATTGAAAGAGATTTTAATTATGAGCGACTAGTAGTTGTAGTAGTATAAGGGTTTACTAGCGCTTCAGCATTAAGCTATTTCGCACCGAAGGTCATAATATAATATCGCCAGCAAGGCGGAAGGTCTCAATTATTCAAATCTCAAATAAATCATCACCCACAAGGGGCGGAAGGTCTCAGATGTCCAGCTGGCTGAAGCTGGCTCGAGAGAAGCAGCGTTAGCATCTCAAAGAGACGAAGTGACAATTAAGGAGGGACAGGTGAAAAGTACCAGAAACTAATACACTCGAACAAGAGGTCGCTTACACAGGACGTCGGCCGCCCGCACGAGAGAGACAGAGAAGGGAAATGTAAGGAATCCTACCTACATAATAACTTAATGTAAGGTATCCTACCTACGTAATAACTTAACCCCGCAACTGAAACCTGCAGTCAGACACCGCGAGCTCAGAGGCGGGGCGCTCAGGAACAATCCCCCTAGGAGCGCGAAATCCCATAGGACTTCTGACGAGCACAGACACGCGTCAGAAGTCCCGGGGCCACCTGAGGGGTTATGAGCGACTAGTTTGAGGGTGAAAAAAATCACGTTGTCGTAAAATTTTTTCGAGAATAGAGTGACCAGATGAAGAAAAAAATAGTTACACAATTAAACCTATTATAACAAAATAGCCAGCAAGCAGGCCAATCATGTTTCGAGCATTAGAAGTAGTAGCCCTGACGTTCAATTACGTGGCCTCTGTTCGTAAAATTAATCCGTTGACTATTATTGAATACATGACCTGTCACGACGCGGCACTCAATCTTATTGAATGATGCGTGCATGGCATGAATAAAATGGTCGCATAATATAAGGCAAGGAAGTAATCACTCAGAGCGACATCGTGCAGTTATTTGGAGCAGACGGTTTCCCTGCACTCACAATCAATGGTTCATAGTGTCCAAATAATGACATTTTCTGCACGTAGTAGCACTGGTGCGACTTTATGCCAAAACTGGGTCAGGATTAATCAGAAAATAAAGGGCAATAAAGTGCATCACTATTCGTAAAAAGTTTATCTCATTTTTCTGAATGCGCAGTGCACAGCTAAGGCGCTTCGTTATTGTGGTGAGTGGCGTTCTGAAATGGCGGCCATAAGCTTGAGTGCATTTAAGAACAGTTCAGAATATAGAAGCCTTTGAAAGAATACGACGTGATTTTAAGTAGTTAATTTTGAACGTTTGAACAATAAATCGTGACAGAGAGTTGAAAATGCGAACTGATCACAGGCTAAATCGCGTCTCCAATAAGCCTAAGAAGGTAAATGGACCAAGCAATTCTATTGCGGTGCAGTTTCAGCCGCAAAAATAATCCCGACTGAAAAGACGGCAAAAAAATTCCAGCAAGTCTTCAATGTTAGAGAAAGCAAAAATTGGACATTTACCGTTAGATTGAATAAAAAGAGGGACTCGCATGGACGAGGAGACGATCCATCGACTAACTAGACGACGTTTTTTTTTCTGTGCTCGATTTTTACGTGATTTGCATTGCAGCTAACGGGTTAGGGAACACGAAGGAATATCCTTGGCTCGTTACTTGAAATTTTATCTAATCTCACGTGGAATTTTCGGAAGGCAAATCGACATTTCGGAAATAATTAAAAA